TGATTACTCCGAGACAGATAGGAGGCAAGTAATTCATATAATATAACAATGATATGTACATTGCTTTAGAGTTCCACAAGGTGGGTTGGGTGCCGTGACTGATATTGTTGCCAGAAAGGTATTTATTCGACATTTACGCTCTGACAAAAATCTTGATAATCTCAGTGTGTTATGTGTGACACTCTAATGTAATAGCAACATTTTAACTGCTTAACAGTTCATCTGTAAAGCTCAATGAAGTTTTTATTGTGAGTGATTCTATCCAAGGAATAGACAACACGTTAATTAAACGAGTGATGCCAATAATAACGGTTCGTTATGTCACATTACTAGTCTACAAGAAATCCTACTCAATAAAAAAAAGTCTCCTGATTTAATCGATATCGAGGAAGAAACAGACTCGTGGGATCTATTTGAAAAGCATTTATCGAATCGTGCGCTGCCAACTGTACCGCTTCAAAAAGTCCATAAATCCAAAATTTTACATTTTCAGTCTACTTTTGAAGTAGGATGTTCGCTTCTAATTCTGTTAACCTGCATGACAGCATCTTCTTTGTTCTGCGAGATTGCCGTTATCGTCTTGTTCAGCTCACAAGATACTAGCCTTCTTTGGTTCAGGCATCAAGGATGGCCGTATCAACTGGCGAAGAGTCTTTTTTCAAACGCCTCGTATTTGTGTTCCATTAAAATATCCGAAAAAGCTCCAAAGAACTTTCTAATGGAAACCAACAGAACTTCGACCGCAACTTAACATCTATGATTGTATCAAATTGGCGACGCAAGTTATTTGTATCTAGGACATTGGCTAGTGTCTTCGGCTTATACAGTGATGAAAATAATAACAATAATACGATGGTAACCCAATGAATTTAGGTTACAATGTGTCTGATGCATTCAGGACGTGTAAGGCACGCTTCTGCGTTAGCTTGAAGATGTTTGGGAGCGAGATCTGAGTCGTACTTGGGCACAAGGGCGCAGAGAAAACTACCATAATGGACGTCCTTACCGGTGAAGTATAGCTATGATACTAATTGTACCAAAAAAAGAAGCAATATTTGGATAATTTGTCAATAGAAGTGTCCGATGCGTACCTTCAGCGTGCGATGTCGCAACCTAAGGAAGGACATAGTTTCCGGTTTCGATCTGACGCACAGTCGAAACAATACTATGAACGCAAATTATTGTCGACAGAGTGAATCACGCTGTCACCCCCCATCGGTCGTCTATACTTCGGGGTAACATAGGTATTTTATTTGCATTTTAGCTTACTTGAACTTTATTGATACACATGTCGGGTCTCTTTCCTCCTAACTTTACGTTAACGGATACGGGCATTCAAAAGAATACAGTACTGGCACGCCATGGGGTGGCATTTTGTGTATCAAAATCATTTATTTTGGTCGTATAAGATTACATTCTGACTGACTTATTAGTCCACGTTTTCTCGTAGTTCCCGTCGCTATTGTAGCGTCTGCAAATACTTTATTCAAAGATGCTTTACTCTAAGATAAAGAGGTTATTCCTATGAAACTACGTTAATTAACTGTTCACTATTCCAAAAGATTCGTGAACATCTTCTGTTCTTTGGCCACATCAAAGGTGCAACCATTGCAGCCGTTAGAGAGGCGACGGCTGAGCTAGTGAGAAAATTCTAGCTAAAGCCCAAAGTGGACGTTCTTTCCAAGAAATTATCACGAGGAATAAAGCGAAAACTGTCGACTGCCAGTGCGCTGATTGGGGGAAGTTCGGTGCATTTACTTAAATAATTAACAAACGACGTAGCTTCGAACGCTTTCAAGTGAAGCATGTGCATGTTTTTCATTGAACAGTAAATCGGCATATCTTTTGTCAACCTTTAAGAGTTAATTAACGGACTTTGTCTACTGCTACGATGGGGTTTTTAAGACAGGCGATAATCCTGGATGAGCCAATAGCAAGAATGTGTCCTCAGTCACGACGAATCTTGCAAGACCTTCATCGAGAAAAGACAATCTTGCGATGGAACAAGTCGATGTATTGGGCGACCCATTACCTTTCTTTCAGCTGGAAGTATGATATGCTCTGGATCGTTCGTTATCTAAAAAAAAGAAATACTTAATAAGATAATTAGTTATCTATTCTCATCTCCCCCTTAGATAGTCACCGTAAATCCCATGTGGTTCGAATGTAGGGGTTAGGTTTATATTGAGAGATGACATGCACTACAAATATTATGTCTATGCTGGAGCCTGGTAAGCTTGTTTACTTTGTTTCACTGAAGATGATTGAGTACAGGGGGAATTGTTTGTTGCTTAAGAATAGTCATGTATAATAATGTTGTTTACGCCGATAGCGACGCGCTATAGGATGCGTGTGATCAACGAACGCTGATATGAGCGCTGTATTGGTGAAGTGGCAAGACGTTTTGTAGGAGGTTTCGTTGCGATAGAAGCTGCTATGAGGTATGAATACACTATCAGACTCGAACTTCGAACTTCCCAAACTGGACAAGATGATCAACTTCCTTGAATACTTCGAGCAGCATTTGATTAGATTTATAATTACGTATCTACACACGAAAACGGCACTAATTAGATCGCACAATTCATCCAGAGATCGTACTACTAAATCTACGGTATCGTATACGTAGACAGAGGGTTTTGGTTTACAGAATTTAAAATAAACATCAAGCTGCTACTAAATGTAACCCGTTTCTGAATTACACGAAACGATATAGAGGAAACAAAAATTTCTCTACGTGATATTGTGATCTCTGCTTTATCTCTGTGGGTTCGTCACCATCTCACTGTCCTACACTTTTTCGTACCGTCGGGATTCTTATCGATAATGTTTTTTTGTATATTTGTCGATAAGCATCGTTGTGTCTAGTATTAGTAGACAACATTATGGAAGTGGAAGCATATCTAGTAAGATCGATATTATTATAATTATTTTAGCTCTTGAACTGGTCTCCGTTTAGGGTTACTTAGGTGGGTTGATTTATAGCGGAGCTGACAAGTCCCATTTTCGTATGTGAGACGCGAAGGTACTACAGAATTCCCCTCACTCGAGCCGCCGCCGCCGCCGCCGATAGACCAAGTCCGATAGAGATTCTGATGCTCTCTTTATGACATTTGTCTAGCTACACAGGAATGATCGGTATCCTCATCATCGCAATGCTATAATTGCTTGGTCGACTGCGTGGGAATCGTTATTCTGCAGCCTTGAAAACATCCACAGATGCTGTATGTTTCATACCGCAGTTTGGTCTAGCCAATCTTCATCTTAACGTGAAGCTCAAGAGAGTATGCCAAGAGATTCACGTCGGCGGACAGAGCTTTGCACCCGCGAAGAAAACAGAGACTTCCTTAACAAATGCTGCTCTCGTGGGTAGGCCACGTTTACGCACTCGTAAGTAATATGTATACATATATATGTAAAGAAAATTAATATTGCCTAGAACTTATGATATTTGTATGGATAATGCTGTTTATATGTAGTTTATGAGTAGAGAGGAGCTTGTAGAGAATATAGAATATTTTCTTTATTGCACTGATTCGACCAAGCCATTTAATAAGCATCCTGATTAAGACAGAAAATCAAGATCAATGAAAATGATTGATATATTCATATGGAACGTACTCCCTCAAATGCGAACTACACTTATATAACAACTCCGCCAGATCTTTGTTTTACGATAACAGCCACTTGTATCGTGGGCCCGAACAATAGGTAATTTAGCTGGCTGTGCAAACATTTCATAGATAATTGATGCATTTTTTAGGCTGGTACCCGTTTTGATGTGTCCTAAACATGGTTCACGTTTGGTCCTAAAAAACCTCTTTTCGACAGATTGATATAGTGGTAAAGTTACTTAATATTTCAGTAACTTTGACTTTCATGTTCTCATCTTCTACTACACTATCTTTTCAAATGCGAATTTTCACTATGGGAACTACTCGCTTAACTCAGATCGTAAAGCGTTTTGAAATTCAATTATTCATGCCAACCAAAAAAGTAAAAACAACAATTGTAACTGGATTTTTATTTATGTTTTTAAACGCTAGATAGAAAGCACTACAGATCTTTTTTGCGATAGTTATAAAATAGTCCAAGACATTTCGAGCAAATTGCGTTTTTGTATCGAAGAAGGGCTGGTTCACCGGATTGGTTTCACCGAAAAATATACTTTTCCAGTGTGTCCGACCGCGGAATACAGCGAGGCGATGTGTTACCATCGAAAATCGGCATTTGTTACGGAAGCTGGAGCCGGCCGGAAGATGATCTTACTCGTTAGTGCTTGTTTTTAGTTGCTTTTCATCACTATTCCTGTATGAAGCAACGTTCAATCTTTGCTAAAAATGCCATTAGCTGCTCAAAACGTATAGTAAACGTCCTTCACAATAAATTTTCGTAGATTTTCTCCTTTCCCATTTTAATTTAAAATAAACTGGATCACCTAAACACGTGTCTAAAAAATAACTAAATAAATCGCATGATCTTGAATCTTACAGTCAAACTTTGCTAGTGAAGCAAATCACAAACATATTTTCATTAAGGGTAGAAATAATAATGTTACGCTTCTATTTGTTATTTACTAGCCTATTAATTTCAATGGACTTAGGTATATTCCTAGGGGCATCGGAAAAAGAAGCTAATCATCCACGAGCGGCGGATGCACGTCCGTCCTTCAGGAAAGCAACTTGGTAGAAGAAATAATCACTGGGACAATAGATCATGGTGTTGCCATGGCAGCCCACAAATTGTCTAAAACATATGTAAGATTAGAAATCGTCAAGGATATTTTGTTCAGGTAAATGCACAAGATAACTTTCAGCCTGTCTTGTATAAGCCGTGTTTATCAACATGTAAATCGTTAGCTTTCCGTTATCCCTTAATATTGCGCCAATAATCATAACCTTAACGCTATATGTCAGGCTAAACGGACTTAGTTCTAGGCTCTCGCCAACAGTAAACGTCATACCGTTTACGTTTACAACGTTCTGCTTCAGGGTTAAAAAAACGAGGGCTTCGGGTTACTGGGCGTTAATGGAGCCGGTAAAATCACGACATTTAGAATGTTCAGTGGAGATCTGTTGACGTCGGGCGGTGACGCTTTCATCAGCAATTGCAGCTTGAAGGCAAGCGTCAAAAGGGTAACCTGATAATGACAAACCCTTGATAAGATTTCTTGTTTAAAATGGTTTTTGAACGCTCTACATTATTTTTGACCATCTATTAAGGTTAAAAGCCGTTTTTAGAATGCTGCTCAAGTTGTTCACAAGCAAGAAGAAGCTCAGGAACGTGGAAGACGCTGTGGCCACAAAATTGAAAAGTCGATTGCGATCATTTTAAATTCATGATAATCCTTAAAGAAGGCCCTTCTGATTACTAAAATAACGGCTTGCCAATTGGAGATATCCGGACGAAATAAAGCAAGTCTGCTTTATTACACTATAAGGCTTGTTTATATATTATATAATGGGCCTTTTATTGATGTATTAGTTTCAAAAAGAAATTGGTTACTGCCCACAATCCGTCGGGCCTGTTCTGCCTACTTCGTGGCGTTTCATGAAGTAAAGCTGACGATCTAGCGTTATTCCTTATCAGGATTTGTGATCCTGAAATGTACGCCGACAAACAAACTGATAGTTACAGGTAGGAGTCTTCCAAGGCACATTCACTTCAAAGATGAACAAAACCACTGTATAAACGGCGGCCACCGTATTAAATGTTGTCACTTTAATTCATCTAGATTTATGGAGAAAATCAACCAATTAAATAGTCACTTAGATGATGACAAATACTAGGCTGGTTAAGATAACGGAACGTTCAACTTAAATTTGTCACCTGGATCCTCGATCAGTTGTGTGCTTCTTTTTCATGCTTGGTCTATGAACTTTACTAGTATATTATACATTGTAGTTAAAAGTATTCGTTTTGATTGCCGTTCCATGGTGCGTTCTTGTTTAATTATGTTTTTTTTTTTTATGTAGTTCAGTGGCGGGAACAGGCGAAAGTTACCGGTTGGCCTAGCAATACTGGGAGGTCCTCGAGTGATCCTTTTAGACGAGCCGACGGCAGGAGTCGACCTTGAAGCTCGACGAGAGATCTAGCTTATCCGGGTACAAAAAGAGATGGGGAGCCTTGTGGTTTTGTGGCATAGTAAATCGGTAGGAAACGTTTTTAATCCTGAGATAGAAAAATAGCTGAAGCACTTGTTCAATTCGAATTGTCCTACCACTTGAGCCACAGCCACCCGGAACGCTACTTGTATCAACTGTGTACTGGAATGGCTTCGTATCTGGAAAAATTCATGGCACAGAAAAAGAACATAGTGCATATACGCATATCGTTAGCTTTTGCCATTTATCATCGTTAGATTAAGGCGATTTGCCCATCTGCTCTTTTAGACAGCTCCAACGTTCTGGCTATGCATTAATAGTAAAAGGTGTATCGGTTCGACGCAACGGCTGAAGTCGAAATATAGCCAGGGTTTTACGATCCTCCTTGATACGATCCTCCAACCTAGAAGGTGCGCAACGACTTCGGGGCTTTAAAGCAGGGTCAAGCTGTTCAGCTGGCCAATACAGTGAGGTCATGGACGAGTTATTCCCGGGTGAAAGCAAGCTAATTAGCAATCATCGGGTCAGCGCTTTATTGATGTAATTCCAAATAAATATAATTCTTGATATTATTATTAGTTATCAATCTACCTATAGTTAGCTCTTTCAGGAAAGTGTGCACTTTTTTTTTTTTAACTATTTAGTGCTAACGCTGCTAAAGCTCATAGCCCAATCGCAAGTTGCTTAACGCATCGATTCCTAAAATAACACGTACAATATATGTAAAACTGAGCGGTAAAAGTTGTTCATGTTCCAACGTTGAGCCAATGCGAACGACGGCCTGGTTATTGCTATTGCCTTTTACTATTGCAGTTCGACGTGATGGACACCTCAATTAGCTGGAGTTCGCTGTTCTTTTGTTCAACTTTGAGGATCGCTTGTGTCCGATACGACCCTTGAGCAAACTTTTTATCATTTGGCCAAAATGTAATTCATTACAACCGATTAGGCTACATTGCAATCTAGAGAACGACGCGGTAGTACCTGGCGACGCCCTACGTAGCAGGCACAAACAGAACGATGCGGTGATACATCTCAAGGCCACGTATGCCCAGTATCCGCCAATGGCTATAGCCTGAGTGAATGTCCCAAAGAACAACAGCCTTTATCCTTTTTTTAAATATAAATGGACGAAAGCAGCATTCAACCTATGCCACCTGCGATTTCTCTGTGCAGTTTGTGCCTTCATTGGATAAAAATCATATTTCGGTACGAAAAATGGAAACCTAACAATGATAGTAATATAAAACGTTTATCCGATATTCTGAGCTCGTTCGAATGCCGTCCAACCGATCTCGAATCTTTAATTCAAATTCTATCTAACGAATGTCGAATTGTATCTTCTCCATTTACTGTGAGCGTTTTAAGAGGTCCAAGAGCTTTTAGGCGCGTGACAGTAACTACATACAAGGTTTCGTATCTACTGCTTCTATTCGTGCCTAATTAAATTATTTAGTTTAATAATAAATTAAATACTATCGTATGTTTACATAGGTCAACGTGAACAAGTCATAAGATAACGAACCATAATCTATATATACACATGTTCTCCTATGTGTTGTCCGAGGAGAAATACCTTTGTTGCAAAAATTGTTATAAAGGTATATAAAAAATATTATAGACAATAGAAACAGAAAAAATCTAGAATCTATATAAAGCTGTTTTGCATAACAACAAGGAGTCGGCTGGGTGGCTTTTGTCTGCGTAAACACTGAGCCATTTCCGCTGTGCAAATGGTATTAGAGAACGGCGGACGAGCCAAAATGATGAAGTATACTAAATGGAGCACATTTGGCTTAAACGGTTCTAACCGCCTCTGATCGTCATCGTAGATATTGTTTCCGGCGTATGTTCATGTATAAAGTAAAATGAAATGTTTTAATCTAATAAAGTATCGTTTAGATGAAGCTTGCTTGGACTGCGATGATCGAAAAATGCAGATAAAGTTGATTACAATGCTACTAAGTCTGCAGCCTGATTTATATGTTGGTCACGTCTGTCAACGGTTTCGGTGTACGTATATTTGCAAACTGTCTTTCTTTCCCATAAACAGATGGTGTCCTTCACAGTATCTGACTATACTTCCGAGGTCATGTCCTTAGTGTTGAAGTTGCGCTATAAATGATTATTGCCGACAATTTATGAGTTCTCAAGGACACGAAAGGACAGTTTTTAGAACATCCGATCTGTGTACGCACGTAGCACCCCTATTTAACCATATTTTTCACGTCGTACTCAGACAGCTGATATCTAACAAGTCTATCGAACAGCTCAACTAAGTACTTTGGCCAGCATGCTTCTAACAAGTGTTACTAAAGAGGACTTTAGAAGCCCTGCGTAGATATAATTTTTCTTTATTTACACAGGTTATATAGTATGCGTCCGTCGTTGACGGGTGTTGGAAATTTAAAGTAATTATATTCGAGAGATGTAACGCTGGGTGGGTAATCCATTAATTAGGGATAGCTTAAGAAGCGTGTAGAATGGAGCACAAGTTTATTAGATATACTCCAGGCACTTCTAACTTATTAAAGACGTTTCGGAAACGAAAACGCATATAAAGATTTGGTTTCGTTAACTGTTTTCCAGCCTCATTTCGTCTATTTTATAGTTTATTGTATAGTGAAACCGATACATCAAATGTAACATTATTGACTGCGCTTAAAAATCATTAAATGTGACGACAAAACAATTGGTAACAACCTTTTCAACGACGTAGCATTGATGTTTTATTGTTATATATTGGAATCCACAATATATAATAAATCCATTGCTTGTTCTTCGCCATCAAGAACTCCAACGATGCGCGTCTCCTTGAAAAAGCATAAAAAAACCCCTTGATTCGTAACCACAGCTTCGTTTTGGAGTACCAGCTTCTCATAGCCTATATCACAAACGTCAAAGGGGCATCGCAGAGGGGGGGGGGGAGGAGGTGCAGGCAGAAGGCAGACAAAGTGCACGATCAATAGCAATTCTGCCCTTAATTACTTTTGTCACGGCTGCTTTAAGTGGAATCCTGCTTTGTCGTTAGTGGAAAGTTACCATACAAATGTATCTTCTACCTGGAAAGATAAAAATATCTTAGAACGATGATATAAAGTGAGAGGGTTACTTACCAACTGCTCTAAAGTGATTTCTTCTTATCTGCATTCTAACCAGCTATAGGCTAATTATAATAATATTGACATAAACGTGTTGCAAAATACCTATCTTAAACGACCTTTAGCCTAGAATCAAACCGCTAGATTAAAATGATCAAGTGAGGTATGTTGATTTAATTAGAAGCTTCTATGTTTATGTGTCTTTGTCCGAAGTTAGCCAGACCTGGCATCGGCAAGGTGAATACTGAACAGTATCAAATGCAACGGATCTTTATTATGTATTATATAGATTGCTTAAGGTCAAAGTCTTAAGGCGGTCAAAAAGGATCGAGGAAAAACTTATTTCTTGTGCACTGTTATTGTTAGAATGCAGCACAAAATAAAGTGCTCCATTTAATTTTTTACGATGATATTGTTATGAATATATTATATATCATATATATAATATAATAGAATACACTTATTAATAATAATGAATAATTTTATAAATTTTTAATAGTTACTTATGTGCGAGTTAAGATACCCATTGCTCTCGAGCATTCAGTGCACCAGGATAAATCCCTAGAATAAAAATACATGTTGTCTCAGTTAGGACTCAGAGAAGGCTTAAAAAATGTTTTGGACTACGTACATTTTAGCATTGGCTTCCAAAAATGCTTCTATTTCGCAATCAACGGTCCAGTTTTCGTGTGGCTATAGAACATTATTGTCATATCTGTTTGTCTTATGACAATTGCATTCAAATAGTCTGGTGACTCATCTCAAATTTGTTGTACCTCTTTTTTGTATCCAGTTGTAGAAGAGTTTGCCATTTTGGATATATGGGATCCATTTGAACGTTCTATTCAACCGGACCACCCAGATCGATAGAGATCTACATTTTATGTTAGTGTCAAACTCCTGCCTGTCGTAAGCAACATTTATCTCCCGTCTCATGCCATCGTTTGACACATAAGCGTTTTAGCACGAACGTACATATAGCAGTTTGATTTCGAGTAAACTATAATTTGATCTCTGGCTTTTGACTGCACGGAGACCAACATAATGTAAGTCCAGTCTGCAACAAAAGTAACGAAACGATGACGCGATGTCCTAACTAAAATAAATCTTTTTAGATATTATAAATATAGAGTCTGGTGCAAATGGATTATGGTTTAGCAGTTGAACGAATCAGATCGTCATTATTTTCGAGAATAGGTTAGAAAAATGCAGAAATAGACCCCGCGCTAGCGCATCAGAGACACCGACAAAAACTAGCCAACCACTGTTACTACATATTTGTTATTAACTAACACAAAAGGAAATGTCAGAGAGACTTATTTCTGTCTTATATAGAAGAAAAAAAAACTTCATATAAATCGTATTATAATTTGAAAATAAATTCTAATACACTTAGTTAAACATCCCTCGCCTCCTAGCTCTCACTGGGGGGTTTGCTGGGGTTCGTCCGGTTTGTGGCACTCATTTAGCCTCATAATTGAGGATACAGGAAATTTACTAATTTCCTATGATACTTTTGAATAATGTCAAACCAAAACGTTAGTAAGAACGTGTTCCTTTCTTGCTAGAAAATCAGGTAGTCATCCAGGCGGACAAGTTCCGTAGCAACAAGCACGACCTCCACTAAACGCCTATATATATATATATATATATATATAAAGGTTTCGAAAACACGTTTGAAGAACATTTGTAACATAAGTTTATCGTAGCTTAAATTACAGGTCTTCGCCGCAATTACAACTAGTGCAAGACATCGTTCAGTCATCAATGAAGCCTAGATTAACACGCACATTCACATACAGATACACATGTGCCAATATACGTAGTTGTATAGACAAAATAATAAATTGAATATATTGTTTAATTCGTAAGAGATAACTCTTTTCGTATACGTAATTTGAAGTGAAATATACAGGTTATTAACTTGTTATACGTATATATATGCAAAACTCGGAATTGTTACAGAAAATCTGGAACAATCTTTATACTAAAACTCCAGTTAGTTTTTTTTATAAACGTCAATAGTTGTATGGTTACAGATATGGTTTCTGAGCCATTACAAATATTTAGATTGTCACCGTCGCAATGGCTGCTGTTAATAGAAACATATCCTAAGTAATAACGTTTTCGTTGCAGCTGAAATGACGCAAACGCGGTATCCGTTTGCGACTTCGATCCACCAAGTTGCTATCCCGTCTGAAATCTGCGCTTCCATGCCCCCATCTCTCCTGTTCAGCAGCCAACCAACTCGCTCTGAAGCCAAAACTATTTTCTGCTGATCGAACAATCTCTAAATTGCTTTCATCAGTAAGCGCTTATATTAATCAGAATTTCTAACTTCAATCGTCGTCTCGTTGATCTAAATGAACTGATACTGCACCTTTGAAAATAGCCGCCGTTCGGATGTCCATTCACCCAATGACTTCTGAATCAAATCTTCAGTAAATCCGTAACTCAGGCTAGCTATGGACCGTGATGAGACATCTCTATGTTCTGCGTTAAAAAAAAAAAATAGATTTTGATCGTTGATTGGAGACCATAACCAATTTCTTTGAACTCGGCGTGAACTGTAATAGATACGTATTCGTCTGCCGATAAGTAAATATAGCTGTTTAAATTAATAGGAGGTCCAGCGCTTGGATATAGTAAATATCATAGAAATTATATAAAAAATCTATTTGTCGACATTATTAATTAGGCCAATGAATTAATTAGATTTACAAATTTAACGATAGGTCACTATAAGTTATTATGTTTAACACGACAAAGACCTTAGCAGAATCACTCGCATCTTCTCCAGATTAAGACAATCTTCACGTGATATTATCATTATATATATATATATATATACATTTTTTTTTCTAAAATTAAAATAGTATAACTTAATTCCATGTATGCTTTGAAGAGCCTCACCATTGTGGTGAAACAGACAAACCACACAGATCAGACCGACCCACTCAGGCGAAAAAAATATCGGAAAAAAAAAAGAAGCAATCGGCGACCCAGAATTAACTGCGATCTCGTGCTAGCTATGGAAACGAAATTATGGCGGTGGTGGAGCTAGGTAGGCCGAGAACGATTTATTTTACCGACTTACATATAAAAATCTCTGCATATAAAAACGTATGCCTGTGTCGCATTGCTATTCACTTGCCACTACCTTGAAGCGCAACGATTTGTCTCTTTATGCGGATACTGAGGAGATGACGGGCTCGATTTTCAGGGTAGTGAAATGCGCTATTTAGTATAGAGGAAATTTACTTATTTCAGCTTGATCTGAGCATTGCATGCGATAAATCGAGTTTTTAAAATTGCTTTTATAGTGTTTGTGATATACAGCCCGGTCTATTTTGCTGAATTGCAGCCCATTTGTGTGAGCTCTAATTGTTAATCATTGGGCATCTCCCTTTATGTCTGTGAAAACCTTATGGCTGTGAATTTTTTCAATAGGGCTTGTTGAGTTTCTGTCTCTTGTTAAACGCTTTGAAAGTGACTGGGTGCTTGCAGTAACGATACTATCTAATATTGAAAGCAGGTCAATTTTTACCCAGGCCACTGGAGCAGGAATCTTCGGCTAGGCTGATCGAGGCCTGCTATTTTTTTACAACACAGAAACCCAGCTAAATCGGTTTAAAATATTACTGTATTATAATATCATTGCAGAATATTCGTTTAGTTAGAATTTCATTATAGGTTAATACATTACCAAATGCAGCCTGACAAGGTAGTGCGGTCACTATTAACATACGTATATTTAGACGTCCATTGGCTGGGCCTCATTTGACAATTACGCGTGACATTCCAACAAGACGAAAAAAGCTAATAGGTTCTGTGACCATTATATCACAGCTCTAAACTTACCTTTAAGGCCACGTAATATAAATA